TCATGAAAGAAAAATCTGAAACAGCAAACATTTTTCAATCCTTTCATGCTATGATTTCAACCCAATTTTCAAGCAAAATCAAAGTCCTTAAAACTAACAATTCAAAAGATTATTTCAACTCTATTCTTGGGACTTATCTTTCACAGCACGGCATTATTCATATAAGTTCTTGTGTGGAAACACCACAACAAAACGGAGTGGCCGAAAGAAAAAAAAACAGACATTTACTTGAAGTGGCATGTGCAATCATGTTCACCAATAATGTTCCTAAATATTTTTGAGGGGAAGTCGTGCTTACAGACAGCCACATATCTTATCAACCGAATGCCAAGCCGAGTCATACAGTTCCAAACCTCTCGCCAATCTCTAATCAAATCACATCCTCACATCCTCAATTTTACTTCTGATCTTCCACTTCGAGTATTTGGCTGCACTTCATTTGTTCACATCCATCTCAATCACCGTAACAAACTCGACCCTAAATCAATCAAATGTCTATTCCTTGGTTACTCCTCCCATCAAAAAGGTTACAAATGTTATTCTCCTACAACTAGGAAAGTTTACAATTCCATGGACGTTACCTTTTTTGAGAATCAATCCTACTTCCCCAAATCCGACATTCAGGGGGAGAGCTGCAAGGAATCTCAGATTTGGGATCTTCTTCAGGAATGTGAAAATGAAAATCAGTCTATCTTTGTTTTATTTAATCATTCATTCAATCAGCCACAACATCTCAATTCTATCGTTGTTCCAGATCAAGTCCAAATTGTCGATCACATGTTGTCTGTCACTGAACTAGCTATCACTGCAGAAACCCAGAATCTAATGCAACTTGAGAACAATTCCACTGAACTTCGTGTCTATAGAAGGAGAAATACAACTGAGCAAAGAAAATAACCTCTGCAAATTTAGTCTTCTCAATCACAAGACCCGACTCCTACTGACTCCGAAATTTACAAAAGTATGGATTCTTCTCAAACTCCTATAATTGATGACTCAGATCTACCTATAGCTCACAGGAAAGGGGTCCGTGGATTCACTGAACATCCAATTCAGAGATATGTTGCCTATGGAAAGCTATCCCCGTCCTACAGGGCATTCGTCACAAATTTGGACAATGTCAAAGTGCCTCAATCCATTCAGGAGGCACTCATGATACCAAAGTGGAAGAAAGCAGTGGAAGAAGAGATACGGGCTTTGGAAAACAACAACACCTGGGTCTTGACACCACTACCACAAGGAAAAAATCCAATTGGATGCAAGTGGATCTTCACAGTAAAGTACAAGGCAGATGGAAGCATTGACAGATTCAAAGCTAGACTCATGGCAAAAAGATTCACACAAACCTACGGAATTGACTATCAAGAGACATTCGTACCTGTGGCCAAACTAAACATAGTTCGGGTATCACTTTCACTTGCCGTGAATAGAGATTGGTCACTGTACCAACTTGATGTCAAGAATGCAATCTTAAAGGGAGATCTCGAGGAGGAAGTCTACATGATCATACCCCCTGGATTGGAAAGCAATGCAAATCAGAACTTCGTGTGCAAATTGAAAAAGTCCCTGTACGGTCTGAAACAGTCTCCCCGAGCTTGGTTCGACAGGTTTACTAGGACCTTGACAGCCAACGGGTATCTAAAATGTCAGGCAGATCACACTTTCTTTGTTAAAAGTGGAAAATGAGGCAAAATGGTATTCTTATAGTCTATGTAGACGATATCATCCTAACTGGTGATGACTCTGTGGAAATTCTTGAGCTAAAGAAACTACTGGCCACTGAATTTGAAATCAAGGACCTTGGAACCTTGAGATACTTCCTTGGAATGGAAGTGGCTCGGTCAAAGGATGGGATAGTGATCTCCCAAAGAAAATATATCCTAGACTTGCTAGGTGAAACAGGTACTCTTGGCCGCAGACCCACCGAGACACTTATGGACCCAGCAAGAAGACCAAACCGTAGTGAAGAAAGCACACCAACTGATAAGGGAATGTATCAACGTTTGGTTGGGAAACTCATCTATCTTTCACATACTCGACCTGATATTGCTTATTCAGTGAGTGTGATTAGTCAGCATATGAACAATCCAACAGAGGACCATTTGAATGATGTCAATCGAATTTTGAGATACTTAAAAGATGACTCCAGGCCATGGGTTAATCTTCAAAAAGAGTGAAAATCATGATGTAGAGATCTACACAGACACAAGTTGGGCAATAGAGCAAACAGATAGAAGATCGGCTACTGGCTATTGCTCCTATGTTTGGGGGAATCTTGTTACCTTGGAGAAGCAAGAAACAGACTGTGGTTTCTCGCAGCAGTGCAGAGCCTGAATATAGAGCACTTGCTCTCGATATTTGTGAAGGAATGTGGATACAGAGGTTACTGAAGGAACTCAAGGTTGAAGTTCAGCCCTCCGTGAGGATGTTTACTGACAGTCAAGCAGCCATCAGTATAGCTAAGAACCCGATGCACTATGATAGGACGAAGCACATTGAAATTGACAGACATTTTATCTCCAAAAAGGTCAACACAGGGATCATTGAACTTAGCTATGTTCCAACAAAGCAGTAGATCGCTGATGTCCTCACTAAGGCGCTTCCTAGAACTAGTTTCGATGAATTGAACCCCAAGCTTGGTTTGTATAACATATACAACCAAGCTTGAGGGGGAGTGTGGAAATAGGAGATATTTTATGTAAATATATTTTGTTGCTTTATTTAGAAGATATTATTTACTTTACCGATATAGGAAATCGGAAAGTGGTTTTTGGTTCCTGATTTGTAGGAATTCAGTTTCCTATTTTTAGGATCTGGTATGCCAGTCCATTGTTCTATATATTAGGCTGTAAATATCTTTACAATGATAACAAGAAAATTCACAATTTCTTCACTAACAATAAATTAAGATCAAAGGAAAGCCTTTCAGAAATGAATATGAATACGAATATGAACACGAATATGAGAAGAATAAATGTCAGTCCAGCAGTTGAAATATGGAAAGAGAATATATGAATGAAATGAAGGTGCACTAATTTATCTGGTAAAAAACTGGCAAGGATAAATTTTCACCAGAACAAGCTCAAATGATGCTTATAAGCAATATATGGTTTTGGGGAAGTTTCAATTCTCATGACATTAGGCCATAGTTCCATGTAAGAAAGAATCAGAATGCGGAACAACACAGGCACAAAGTAAAGGGGAAAAACAATGTGTAGATAGACAACAGTTCCTGCTGGTAGGGAAAAACACAACATGAACAATGCAATTAACACAACCATATCAAAAAAATAGTTAATATGTATAACAAGTAGGTTGAGAATGAACTGAATTGAGTCTAATGCTTCGGTATTCAAATTCGTATTGGTTTTACTGTATTAGATTCGAGTTTGAATTCAGTTCGAATAGTGAACAATTGTTTGAATTCGATTCGGTATTACTAATACCCTATTTGCTTTATTACTCGTGAATACTCTATTATTCGTGAATAGTCTATTATTCATGAATAGGCAATATGGCTCTCAGGTGTTTGGTACTGAGTTCAATTACCGACCACCACTTTTTTTTAACTTACACATATTATTTGTAGTTTTTCGCTATTAGCCCTTTAAGTCTTTCATTTTTGAAATTACACCCTGAAATAATTAAAATTGCAATTAAGTTCCCTATCCCTCAAATCACTGAAATTGCTATTAAATCCCCCAATTAGCATAAGTTGTGCAAATTAGCACCTCCAAGACTTTTTAATCTATCTTATTATGGATTTCACATCTACAAAAGTCCACTTTCTGGCAATTATTTTAGCATTTAAATCTTCCCCATTGGTTTTATTCTTAACCAAAATCTATACCAATTTATTTTAATTCAAATGTTAATACTATATCTAAATAAACTTATGAACATCTTGATCAAACTAAAACTTAACCTCAATTTAAATTAGCATACCGTAATCTCACATGCTTAAATGAGAATCACTTGTAAAACATATTTTGTTGTGCTAATATATGTGGAAAAGATAAACGTCTGAGACACAAATTAATATTATTTATAAACCGAGTACTTAAATGAATTATCAACTCGAATACCGAATACGTAGATCTATTAGTATTTATTATAATAAAGAAAATCTGGACTTTTGGTCACAACTTTTGGTTCTACCATTATATAAGTCGCAATTTAAAGAATATCAAACAATGTCCTCAAAATATACCATGCTTTGAGATTAACATGAGGGACATAATTGGAAAACTAACACAAGACCTTATCCCAAATTCACAACCTTCAAAGTCTTAACTAATACATATAACCCGCCACGTTCACACTCACCTTCTCATCATTCACAATTGCATTCATGGGTTAGTAACTTACCATCCCTATCCGTAGGTAACTACAAATCTCAAATTAAACAAATTCATATCCACTTATTATCCTCTCACACCTGTCTTTTCACCTCTCTGACCAAGTATAATCATGTAGTCTCCGTCCTCTCCCTGCTATGTCTTTACAAGGTAACTCCGTGATTCCTTTTTTTGGGGGGTTGTTTATAATATATACAAAGTTTCATTCTTCTCTCCCTATTATCTATTATGATGACTTATGGTGAATTCCAAGTAGTGTGGTGAGTTCTCTGGTGTATCTTTTTTTCTTTTTGCATTCAGTGTTTGGACTCTTTCTTTTATTTTTATATTTTTGTTATTTCAAGCATGTACTGTGCATCATGCACACATTGCGTGCACAGAGAGCTCATGAATAATTAATGAACTATTTGTTAATTATTTGGTTCGTTTCAACCCCTAATTGTGATATGCAAGTTAATAAATTGGAAAAGAAAAGGATACAAAAGACAATGTACATGCTACATAGAATCTGAATTTAGAGGAGACCATCCAATTGAAAAATTACCAATTATGACATTTAAATTTTTACAGCATATGATGGGAAAGAAAAGCATAAAATATTGAAAAAGAAAAAACTCAAAGGCTCAGCATGCACATACAAACCTCACCAGCCCTGACAAGTATAATGGAGCCTACTTCCAGTTCACCAACAGGAATCTTTTTGTAATTTAATTCCGTGAATTGTGGAAACCTGTTGTTATCAACTTCCAGCAGCAGCGCAAAATCTGGATGACTGTCCTTCAGTTCTTTCACATCGATCATAGACCGGCTTGTGAAATATTCTTCCGCTGAATACAGCGTCATTCTTCAGCAAGACAATGCCCAAAAGAAAGAAATGAAAAAGAACAACTATATACTCAAAGAGATAGGTGCCAAACAAATTGCTGAAGAATTACCAATATGAGCCAGGTTAAACATAGCAAGAAGCAAGGCACCTTCCAAGGAATTCCCCATGAATACTGATGCAAAGGCTGCAAGCGCCATGAGAACATGGATATTTATTTTTCCAGCAGCAATATTCAAAGCGGCATCAAGTGCTGATGAGACCTAACATTAGAATACAAAACATTCAGAAATTTTGCAATAAAAACAAAACATCTTTATCTAAAAACATATTATTTCCAATAATACTAACATTAAACATGAATTATGACTCTATGCATGATATGTATCAGTGTATAAACTAAAAAAGACGCGTACAAAATGAAACAAGATATGCATTTAGATACCATCAGAAATATGACCAGTGGACAGCATCGTAAATCTAAAAGATTCAGATTAATAAAACATAAAATGAATACTTGGAATGTAAATTTTAGTAAAATTAAGGAACATATTGACGACCACAAAATACCCAGAAGTAATCATTATCGCTATTTAGGATCAATCAAAGGTCAAGATGGTGAAAATTAAGGACGATATGGCTCATCGAATCAAATCAACATGGTTGAACAAGGTACTTACGTGAGTCCTATGTAAGATTAGAATATCAATGAAATGAAGAAAATTCAGCTGTAGGAACAACAATGTTTTATGGATTAGAATGTTGGGCAACGGGAAACAACAGGTGAAAAAAGGGGTGTATCATAAATGAAAATATTATGATGAATCAATGGATATACACTGAGAGATAGGACAAGATATGAGTCCATTTAGAGGAGGCCAGGGGCTGCTCCTATGGAAGATAAAACGAGAGGGAATAAATTGAGATGGTCCGATCATATGCCACATAGATACAAAATTTACCAATTAGGAAGGACATAAACTTATAACTAACGGATGAGGACTACAATTAGACCTAGGTGAACCTGAATGGAAACAATTAAGAAGAATATGAGAGTGCTTAACTTAACGTAGGATATAGTCATAAACAGACTTTAAAGAAATAGTAGGAGTTTTGTAGCGAGGCTAAAATATTAGGGATTTAGTCTTTGTTGTTCTTGTTGTTGTTGCTGAGTTCTCTCATATATAAATTATATAAATAGCAACAAATACACACACGTGCAACGCACGCGCACACGTGTGTGTGTGTATGTGTGTGTGTGTGTGTGTGTGTTTGAAAAATACGTAAATATGTAATTGTGATAAATAAAGAATTACTTGGGTTGCTCACAAATTGCAGTTTATTTCTCATGTACAAACCAAAAAACTAGAGATTAATTAGCAGGTGACCGCTATCATATGATGTGCATATGTTGTCCTTACTGTATATTCCTTCCAAGTCTCATGCACTTCCGCATTTCTTAATTTTCACTTCATGTATAACCCATGGTGAGGTTGACAGGCAGAGCTAAATGTATTAAGATGTCGATACCTATATCTTTGGGTCACCACAAGCCATTCTTTTACATACGTTTGGCAAATATCTAACAAAATTAAAGAAGAATAACGCTAACCAGACTACCAACTTATGAACTACTTCTGCACGACAAGACACAAAAATGTGGGGATCCTTCCTAGCGAGTTGCTCTATAAAAGCATGCGTCCCTGAGGACCCCGCAATTCCTGCATCACAAATGTGGAAGTTATAGTCTAGTTATCATTACTCGTCAAAGAAATTTGTTCCACTTTTTTTCCTCTCTCCCTTTCACTTCTTCCACAAGATGTAGAAACACTTTAGGCACAAGTACCTAATCTTTGTTAATCCAATTCCCCCAGAACTCAATGCAACTAAGAGCAGAAAAGCAAAGAGAAATACCCCAACGAGAGGAAACGCGATGGCAATGAGCGTTCCCTGCAGAGCCTTCACGGATC